AGTATTGGAGTGATAACTAAAGGAGATAAAAATGATAAACCTGATTTGACCAGTTGATACCTTATTACTTACTCCCCCTTCTGATACACTTTGGACTTGATCTGGTTTTCAGTATTTTCTATTTTTTATTGCTCATATTGAGGTTTATCTTTGATGTGTTTTGGCTTTGTGGGTTGCCTTCTTGAAAAACATTTATGTGTTTTTCTGTTTTTCGGTAAATGAAACCCAGGATTGGTGAACTTACAGAGACAACAAGTAGAATAAGGGTTCCTGGGTGTATGGTGGGGGAGGGCAAGGGCTCTTGGGGCATGGGACAGATAAAGGGGAGCTGATATCTAGAAAACATTGTGAAACTGATGTGGGCGCAATTGCGCAATACTGCTTAAGGTGACTGAACTCTGGAATGGGGTGATATGTGTATTAGCTCCTAATAAAATGGTTTTCGGAAAACAAAAAACCCCACAACACAACAAAAAAGAACTTTAATAAAATTTTACATTAAAAAATGGAAATGTCTGCCATATTACCATGTGGTTGGTCTGTCTTTAAGTCCTTATCTATTTGCATACATTTCTTGGTACCATACACAGATTTGGGGTATGGATTTCTTTCATTTTTCTTAGTTTACTTAACACATCAGCATTTTCATTTGAAATGCTGTTGTTTCCATCCAGGCCCAGAGAACTGGTGGCCAAAACAAGATGGAAATGGGCATCGTCTAGTATTAGCCTGAACTGTGGGCGTTTTGGTTTTTAGCTTTTTTAATCTTTTTGAAACCATCAGGTAACACTGGAATTACCGATATTTGTCTGTTGGTGTGCTTTTGACTGAGTATTTTGTTTTGTTGGGGCTTTTGAAATCTGTGAACACTGCTCTCATTGAACAAAAATGAAAGTAGAGGCTTTTGTGGGCATGAGGCTGGTTTCTTTTAGCAAATCGCCTTTGTGATTTGGAGCAGCACACGTCCTCTCTCATCTTTTGCTTTGAACAATTCAAAAGGTCTTTGAGGGAAAAATAGTAATAATAACACAGTTGTGTAAGATCTAACATTTATCCAAAAGCTGGCACAATATAATCACATTCCTTAGGGGGCCCATTGGCCTGTCATTAAGTTAATATATTTGACCGTTTCTATACAATGATGGTGTTGTGTCATTGCTGCTTAGCTTCAAGGGGTGCATGGCAACATCTAATTCTATTACTGACTTCACAGTTGATGAGACCTTTTGAAAACATTCTGGAGAAAGCTGACCTACGCTGTTATTGCTCTGGGGATAACGACAATTAGGGTTCTCAGAGAACATCATCCTGCCTCTCGTTCATTCTCTTACATGGCTTTTAAAAAATTCAGTGAATCACTTTGAAAAAGTAGTAGTCCACTCCCATGTCGCACAAATAATAATGATGTTCTTTTCTTAGAGGAAAACTCAGTCAAAGTGGGTCACTAGAAGTTGATCAATAAGTCTCTTGCTTCATAAAGGTTTCATAGGAATGTAAGAGAATTGGCACAAGGAAAAATAAAAAGAGATGGCTTTCAGGAAAACTGAGAACATAGTTTATTTGAATAGAGAGCATTGTAAATCCTGCCTTTGTTTTGAACTTAGAAAATTCAATACAAATTTCTGGTTTTGCCTCAATAAAAAAATAGATATGAGAATTAAAATGTAGGAGAATGTGGTTTTTGGCTTAAATTCCATTTGGGATATCTTTTTCTGTATAAAAGACATTTCTGAAAATAGATGATTATTAACTTCAACACTTCATAAAACACGAAATCGGGAAAAGAGCTTTGCAATTCCTAAAAATAATACTCTCCAGTCATAAGTGCTCTTGTTTGTGTGGGTTTAGGTTCTCGGCGAGTGAAAGACCTTCTCATAAGATAATTTACACTCAAGGCAACCCAGCTGGTTATAGCTACCGATGCACATACACTCTTATAATTCATTGAACAAAATTTCAAACCAAAGCTAAAATTTTTATTAAGGGACCACATATGCCAAAGATTTCTCGTGACTCTTGTAACTAGTTTCTTTGAAAATTGGCACACTCGCATATACCTTTTTGGAGAAAAGGCTAAAAAAAAGTGTTTTTAAGAACTAAAGTATAACACATATGCCCTTTATTTATTTTAAGAGTACCTAAAGAGTTTTTTAAATGAGTGACTAGAGAGGATAAATACATAGAAATTTTGGTATGGTTAAATTTTTAACTTACTTTATAAAACTGAGAGTGTCACAGTTTGTTATACAATTTCCACAGTTGCTTTTATAGTCTGTTTCCTATTTATGATTTTTATGTGAAGTATTTTTTTTCTTTTTCTCCTGATTAGTTTTGATAGATTAGATTGATTCTTGCCCAATTAATGATGTTGAATGGCTCCCTGACTGAAACGCCTTTTCATTTTATTATCATAACATTTGAAAGATTAGTTTTCTTATAAACATACGTGAAAAAATGCTAAATAAACTTAAGGCAATTCAAATCCAACAAAATAATAAGAGGCTGTTAAAAGGATTTATTTTTAAAAGAATATTTTAGTATTTAAAATGTTACTATAATTTAGCATATACATAAGTGAAAGATGGAAAAATAATTGTTACAATATATTCTGACACCAGTTGAGACATTTCAATATCCACTCTCATTTTTTAAAACTTAATATGCAAGAACTAGAAATATAAATGATACAATAAATAAAATACTGTAAAGAATATTGATCCCACACCAATGGTCAACACATTTTATACATAATATTGAAGCATCAGCACTCTATAGCCCTGGAAGAAGACTGACTTATGCTTAGCTGATTATTATTAGTCTTTCTTCTTAAGAAAATAACACATTTCTTGAAGGCAGGAATGAGGAGACATTTGGGTTAGATTCATATAGTGGATAAGCAATAAATATTTGTTGAATGAATACACCAGTGTCCTATTCTTTATAGACAATACTAAGACACAGAATAAGCAATTTGCTCAAGTTCAAGTAGTAAAGAGCTACAGTGCTAGATTTGGAATTGAGGCAGGTTGATGGAAGTGTCTGTAATCTATATCACTTCCCTACCCTGTCTCTAACAATTGATGTGTGAGACAGGGTACACCCAATGAGGTTTGGTGGTTATGGTTAAGATTCAATAAATTAATACTTGCAAAGAACTTAGAAGACAGCCTGGCATATAGTAAATGTTGGTGAACTTTAACTAGTATC